GAGGGTGTTGGATACCTTGAAACTGGAGTTACAGATGGTTGTGAACAATCATGTTGATGCTAGGAATTGAACCCAGGACTTCTGCAAGAGCAGCTAATGCTCTTAACTACTGAGCCATATTTTAAGCCCTGGTCCTGGGATATATATATATATATATATATATATATATATATATATATATATGTGTGTGTGTATATATATATATGTATGTATGTATATGTATATATATATGTATATGTATGTATGTATGTATGTATGTATATATATTTTAAATGTATAACTGGGCATAATCTCAGCACTTGGGAGGCAGAGGCAGATCTCAGAGTTCAAGGCCATCCTGGTCCACATAGTGAATTCTAGGGCAGGTAAGATTTACATAGTGAGTCTCTGACTCAAAATAAATAAAACTGCAGATATGATTATTATTAATTATTTGAGATTTGCATATAATGTATTTTGATCATTTTCAACTGTCATTCATCCCTTAACTCCTCTCAGATCTATCTTCACTTCCCTAGCCCCACAACTTCATGTTCTCTATTTTTCCTTCTTATAGCTTTTTGAGTCCAATTTATGCCACCCATATTCTCCCTTCCTCAGGAGCCCTCCACCATCCACAGCGCCTCAGTTAGGGAAGGAAGCTTGTAAACCTCTTCACCTTCATGATGAATGCTGTCTGGCTTGATCTGGTGCTCCTCTTGTTCAAGCAACCATAGGTGCTCTGACTGCAGTGATCCTGTCATGTAGAGGACACAGTTAAACACTGACAGTACTCTCTATTCCTGGACTCTTAACAATCTTTCTACCTGCTCAACTTAGATGGTCCTGAGCTGAGAGCTCTCACTCTCTCGGTCTCCCTTCCTCCCTCCCCCCACCTCCCACCTCTGTGGGGGGGGGGGAGAAAGAGAGAAATACAGACATTTCATTTGTGGCTGAATATTCCACCAACACTTATTTTCTGCAGACTCTGGTCACCCAGCAAATAAGACTGACATCAACAAGTGAAATTGAAAAAAAACTTAGGCAGTCTACAGGAATTTTTTTTTCATCGTTGCCAGCTAAATATCTGACAGAAAATGCATATCTGAAACATACAAGGAACTCAAAAAACCTAAACACCCAGAAAACAAAAAACCCAGTTTTTTTAAATGAGATATAGAACTGAACAGATATAGAACTCTCAAAAGATGAAATGCAAATGGCTAAGAAATATTTTTTTTTTAATGGGCACCTTCCTTAGTCCCAGAAATACAAATTAAAGCTACTTGGAGGTTTCATCTTAGCCTTGTCAGAATGGCTTAAGATTACAAAACAAAAGCCAACAGATGATGGAAAGAATGTGGGGAGAGATGAACCTGCACACACTGTTGGTGAGAGTGTAAACTGGTGTAGCCACTGTGGAAATCATTGTGGAGTCCTCAAAAAAGCTAGACATAGACCTGTGATGGAGAGTAGTGCAGTCAGGGGAGCACTGGGGTCTGGAGATGCAATCTGAGGACAGGATCCACTCCTTTGGTCTGAGGTAGAGGTAAGAGCAAATGGTTGGCAGCTTTGCTTCTCTGATCTTCAAGCAAGCTTTAGTAAATCATAACAAAATGTCACCACAATGAGCCAGATATGTCACTCCTGGGCATATATCCCAAGGACTCTGTTTTCTGCCATAGGGACCACATGTTCACCCATGGTCATTTAGCTTCTAGGACATGGAAGCAGCCTAAATGTTTATCAGCTGATGAGAGATGATGAAAATGCGGTGCCTATATACAATGGGATTTTATTCAGCTGTAAGGAAAAATGAACTCATGAGATTTGCAGGTACCAGGATGGAACTGGAAAATGTTATTCTGAGCGATGTAACCCAGATCCAGAAAGACAAACACTGCTAGGTTCTCACTCACAGAGACAGGGTTTCTCTGTATTGTTTTGGAGCCTGTCCTGGAACTAGGTCTGTAGACCAGGCTGGCCTCAAACTCACAGAGATCAGCCTGCTTCTGCATCCCAAGTGCTGGGATCAAAGTCATGTACCACCAATCCCTGTAGGGTCCTGGGGATTTTAAGTGACATTAAATTCTTTTTTTAAAGTTAATACTGTTTTGTGATAGTTAGCCATAAAAAAAAAAAAAAAAATTTAAAGCCAGAACAAATTCCAGCATTAGGTGGCTTCATATCGGTGGGAACAAAATCATGGTAGAAGCCACAGATAGAGCTGAGAAAAATGTTAAATTGTAGGTGGTATCGGAAGGCAGGCACTGCTTTAATATATGCAGTACTGACGCAGTGAGGTATAGAGCAGTTACTTCTCTGTTGTGATGAACACCACGACAGAAAGCAACTTGGGGAAAGTGTTTATCTGGCTTGTCCCTTACAGTCAGTCTATCATCAAGGGAAGCCAAGGCAGGAACTGAGATAGACACCACAGAGAAGCACTGCTTACTGGCTTGCTTCCCCTAACATCCTCAACTACCTCTCTTTTTCTTTTTACTTTGTCATTCAAGACAGGATTTCTCTGTGTAACAGTCCAGGCTGTCCTGAAACTCACTTTATAGACCAGCCCAGTCTCGAACTCACAGAGATCTGCCTGTCTCTGCCTCCCAAGTACTTCAGCTATTTTTCTTACACAGCCCAGGCACATTTCCACATGGATGGTATGAACCACGGTGGCCTGAGCCCTCACATATCGATCAACAAACAAGAAAACACTGCACAGAAATGCCCACAGACCAGTCTGATGGAGGTGATTCCTCAACTGAGATTCCTTCTTTCTGGGAGTGTTTAGGTCTGTGTCAGGCTGACCTATCAGCACCAACATTTAAGAATTCAGCAAGAGCAAAGCTGATTGCTCAAGTGAGATTCATCCTTTCCAGGTATGTCTAGGTCTGTGCCAGGCTGACTAGTCTTAGCATCGACACTTAAGAACTTTGGAAGAGCAAAGCTGAGCATTTGTTAGTCAGAGAACTGGACTTCAGTCTGCATTAAGGGAAGTAAGTGTAGAAGATATTTCTTGGGCCAGAGTTGTAGTTTAGTTGTTGGGCATTCACTTAGCACTCTTAAAGTTCTGGGTCCAATTCTTGGCACTACAATAAAAAGTCACTCACCATAGGGCAAGAACCATAGCCCCACAGTAGGAATATGAACTAGAATATCACATCCTTGTCTACAGAGTCCTCAGGCATTAATTAGTTAAGGACTTTGAACACCAGAGAGAAGGAGATGAAGCTGCTCTGTAGGAGCATAATTCAAATTACTTTGTAATTATTTCTTTCAAATAAAATGAAAGTTGATCAAAGATAAGGAATTGAAGAAGAGTCAGATATGAGTCATCATCACCAGAAACAACAGACAAGTGAGACAGACTTACTAAACATAGTCTAAACGTCACTGTCCTTGCTAGGTCTATTGAAGAAAAAGACAAACTTCTAAATTTTGTCAGAGGACTGGAAAATTGGTGACATTTAAGATTGGGGGGAAAAACATAGGAATTATAAGACCAAGAATAAGAAAACCCAAAAACTATGGATGAATTTTAGAGCAGAGTGGGCACACCTAAATAGAGAATTAAGATCAGGTTAAAAGAATCCAAAGGAAATTTAAACAAAACAAAGCCACTGAAGATAAGGTAGGAAACTACAGTAGGAGGCCCAATGTGTACTGAATTGGGAGTCCCGGAGATGGAAGAAATGACATGGGAAGACATGAGAGCCTAGAATTTACTAATATTTGATTAAACACGTTAACTTATAATTTAACGAGTACGAGATAAAAATTACCATTTTTAATAATAAAAAGGTATTGTCTAATTTTCACGGCTATATCTGAGTGTAGGAATTCACAGATAACACGGACAGCTTTGAGTTTCTCCGTAAATCTGTTGTAAACCTGTTAGTAAGTCTAAAAGGGCTTTCTTTAAAAACTCCTCTATCTGAAATACATTATTTTCGTTTAATCAGTGGGATTGCTAAATAGTCCAATAATTAGCGGAGGTGCCGGGCTGGCATGGCCACGCCCATCCTTCCGCCCCGCCCACCACAGGCTCAGGCAGGAATACACGCCTACGCGAGCACAAACACGTACCCATGCGCGCGCTCGCGCGCACGCACCCACCCACCCGCGACACACACACTAGCATACGTGTACGCATGTGTATGACTCAAGAAACGAGCTTTTTCTCTCCTCGTCCCCTAGGCAAGAGCTGCCAAGTTTCTGAGGAGCAGTCCTACAGATCTAGTAACAGTGAGGTTCCTTTAAATGATCTGCAACCCCTCCCCTCTCAGATCCGTTTGCGAGGAACTTTAGGGGCAGCAGAGGCGAAAAGCAGCCTGGTGTCTGTCAACCAGTTGGCACACGGGTGTGCGTGCCTAGGACCTGCCACGCTTCAGAAGTCCGCTGAGGCGTGGAGATGGAGATGCAGGACCCGGCGCCTAATGAGCGCCAGATCGCCTGATCCATAAACTCGAAACAGCCCATAAACTTTTTCTCACTTATCCCCTAGTACCCCAGCACATATACACACACAGAGTTTATGTTTCTTCCCAGGAGTCGGCTGGCCGTATGAATACTAACTTCACGAAATAACAGGAGCTAAAAACAGCCCTTGCTCGTAGGACAGAAAAGAGGCGAGAAAATACAGTAAAGCCTGACCTCATACTGGGATTTGCCCCGTGCTTGGAAAGGGTAAAAAAAAAAAAAACCCTCAAGGGTGACTCGCCGCGCGGTGCATGCTGGGATTAGTAGTTCATCCAGCCCGTCCAGTACGTAATTAGAACGGGGCGTAAGTTGGCTCTGCGACCGAGAACTACTATTCCCGTGAGGCCGCGCGGCAGTGGAGGGGCGGGGTCGGGGGAGGGGCGTCTCACTCGCTCAGGTCCTGGGGCTGGAAGAAGGCAGTGGAGCTGCGGTCCAACTGCTCAAGTGTCCATGTGACAGTGAGCGGGGTCCCCTTCCTAGGATCCTCTCCACTCCTGATCATAGTCCCAGGAACCCGCCACTATTCCAGCGCCGACAAACCCACAGGCCCGGGACTCTGGGCGTCGGACCGTGCCGCCGCCACACTTGGGGTGCGGAGTGAACGGCCGCCCCGAGGAAGGAGGCGGAGCGGCGAAGCGAGCGGGGCTCTGTGGCGGCGCCGGCGCCCCCGAGCTGCCAGACATGAACGGCTTCACTCCGGAGGAGATGAGTCGCGGAGGGGACGCGGCCGCCGCCGTGGCCGCGGTGGTCGCTGCTGCAGCTGCCGCCGCCTCGGCGGGGAACGGGAACGCGGCGGGCGGTGGGGCAGAGGCACCGGGTGCTGGTGCGGTGTCGGCTGCTGGTCCCCCCGGAGCAGCCGGTCCGGGCCCCGGGCAACTCTGTTGTCTGCGGGAGGACGGCGAGCGGTGCGGGCGCGCGGCTGGCAACGCCAGCTTCAGCAAGAGGATCCAGAAGAGCATCTCGCAGAAGAAGGTGAAGATCGAACTGGATAAGAGTGTAAGTGGCAGCGGGATCGCCCTGTCCTGCGCCCGCCCTACGCTGCTTGCCCAGCCGGGTCATCAGCAGGGGTTCACGAGTAGTCCGGACTGAGCTGCAGGTGGGGTTAGTGGGTTCTCCGATTGAAACAAAGTCGCTGCAACTCCGGCCACCTCCCACTGCGCGCGCTGGCGCAGTGGTTTGGGTCCTCTCCGCCCCTGCCCTGACTCCTGCTGCCTCGCGTCTCTCCCATGCCAGGCTTCCCTCTTCCTCCTTTGCTGCGATCTGGAAATGAAACAAAGGGAACCGCAGGGAACCGCGTTACTCAGAGCCCAGAGTAGTTTTCTTATAGCTGGGCACCCCTTCTCTGGAATGGAGGCGCCTTTGTTTTGCTGCCCGAGCCAGCGTCTGACCCCAGGGAGTAGCTCCGCTCCTTTAGGGAAAGTAGAGTCTAGCAAGAACCCACGTCGCAGAGAAGGAATATCTTCCTTTTTTCACCCTCTCGGTTTTGTTTTTCTTGAACATGGAGAGGGAAGCCGAGCTAACCAGTGGGAGGTGTTTGTAAACGGCGTTTGCGATGTCAGCTCTTCGGGCAGCGGCTCCGAACCAAGGCTGCAAATAAGCCTCAGCGGTTTTCCAGCCCGCTTGGCAGCCATCGGGATTTCTTTTTTCTGTCTTTATGCACGTTTGCTCTTTGGACCAGCTATGAGGTCTCATAGAGATCCATTGCTAGTTTTCAGAGCTCTGACTGGTGGCAAATGAAGAAGCTACAGAGCCTCCACACATCCTGTGTATTTTCTGACTTGCTTTTAGCTTAGAAGCCAATTTAAAAGGCCCTTAACTGTAGCCTTAAGGTGGGGGGGGGGGAAGGGCTGTCAATCAGCTCAGTATTTCCAATCGCTCATTATGTAACTCTCAAATGCCCGTGTAACTAAATTGTTGGAAAAGTTTGTGATTCTGTTTAAGCAGTTTTTCAGTAGGGTCCATGAGAAACGTTGCAAGTGAATCTGAATAATTTACGTTTGCCTAAATTGTAAACAAAATAGTACAGATAAATATATTCATTTAGTTCTTACAAAGAAATATTAGTACTTGAAATTTAAACATGAATTCAATAGCGCATTTGTAAAAAACGCATAGTTTGTATCTGTGTAAAATTTGACTATCTAATTAGAAAAATTAGGAAGCATATACCTAACATTAATATAATTTGCTGCTCTCAAACTAGAGAAAATACTATCCAGTACAAAATTGTGGTCATATCACCTCTTCCCTAGTAGAGTCAAAATCAGCAGGAGCTTATTTAGGTCACCCTCAATGCAATTTGATGACAAAACCCACAGGGTTGACATTTCTCTTCCTCTGTCTGCCTGCCTTCTCCCATGGTACCACTTTTCTCTTCCTACCTTGGCCCCAAACAGTATTGCCAGACTGCTAATGTTAGAGCCAGGTGCCCGTTTTAAAATTGGAAAGGAACATTCCATTATCTTTTAACAGTGGCCTGCTTAGACTATATATTCAGTCATTCATCTGGGCCTATGCATTTTACTAACACAGAGATGTGTTGTTCTGTATTCACTGTCCATGAACTTTTCTGTTTCAGGCAAGACATCTTTACATTTGTGATTATCATAAAAACTTAATTCAGAGTGTTCGGAACAGAAGAAAGAGGAAAGGGAGTGATGATGATGGAGGAGATTCACCAGTTCAGGATATCGATACTCCAGAGGTAGACCAAAGTTTTATTATGTTAAATGTAAATCATAAGCATGCTGGCAATTCCAAAGCCTTTATGTAAATAGTTGGGCTAAGTTTTACATGTTTAAAGCACCTGACAAATCTTAAAATTAAATACAGTTAACATGTATTTATACTACCATTAAATCTCAGGTGACAATTCTTATAGCCCTTGACATATAACTTGCATTTTTTCCCTCTAAAAGTTTACACTATGTATCCCCAAAAGGTGAAACTAATAAACTCTGTATCTGGTTATGTAAATGAAATTGTTATTGTGCTGAAGTGAAAGTATCCTTTGCTTTACAGATCAGTGATATCTTTTGAGCAGAGTGAACTAATCTGTATCTTAATTTTTTCTAGGTTGATTTGTACCAATTACAAGTAAATACACTTAGAAGATACAAAAGACACTTCAAGCTTCCAACCAGACCAGGCCTTAATAAAGCACAACTTGTTGAGGTATATATAATTTTTATGCCATGTAAACATACCTTTTCACACCAACAAGGGGTCATTAAATGATGAGATAGGTAAATGTCATATGTGTAATAGTACATTCATATAGAAAGTCAAAGTTAATGGGGTCTCTCATGGTCTTAAAAATATAGTGGTTTAGAAATAACCATCTGCCACCTAGAAAATCTATTTACAGAATCTTTTAATAGTGATTTTTCAGAGTATTTAGCAAGAAGTTTTTTATCATTTCTGAAATCTGTTTTTAAGTTTCTAATTATTCAGTGACCGTTTTTTGAACACCTAATGGAGCCATAGCAAATAAATAAGCTTACAAGCATTTATTAGAATTTAGTTTTCAAAGCTTCTGTGTGATAGACTTATAGATGGGGCCCTGAAGCAGGTCTTCTAACTTTCTAGTTTTACTTTCAGGATGGCTTTGTTAGTAGTTATTGTTTTTAAGTAGAGGATGCTTTCTTTACATAGAGAGCAAAGATTTTTTTTTTTTTTTTTTTTTTTTTTTTTTTTTTTATGGTGAAGACAGAATTGAGCTGTTTAATTCCACACTGTTCTGACCTTGGGCTATGGATGCAGCCATCAAGAAATTCCCCCAGAATTCATCATAGGGTGGTGCCTATGTGAGCCAGCAGTGCTCTGGGTTGAGTGTCACCCTCCACATCTGTAGCAGAGAGTCCCAGCTGGTGGTGTAGGGTAAATGTTTGATGCGGAACCAGTGTCTGGGGACAATGTTTCCACTTCGTGTGTACAGCTTCTCAGAATCCTGTCTGTCTAAAAGACTTCGGAGGGCCAGGTTGCTGGACAGGATCTTCTCATAGAATTCCACTCCACCATGGGTATAGGATGCAAATAGAGAGGCTGTGTTGCGGTCCAGCCAGCCTCCAACAGTGAGGGAGTCCTTGGAAAAGGTATAGGCCACAAAGCCATCCACTATTGCCACCAAGTTAAAGGCAGCTCGAAAGCCCATGGGGCTTTCATAGAGCTCCAGGCCATGCTTGGCACCCACACTCAGTACCCAGGTTCCTGCTAGGCAAGCTGGGGCTGGCAGGATCTGTAGGGCAGCCACATTGCTCTCCAGGTATACCACCTCCTTGGCTAAAGCAAACTTCTGAGCACTATGAGATAGAGTCAGGGCATCACTCAGCCTGGTGTCTGCTGGGCGATTATGCTTTGCTCATGAATGGTCACAGTACGGTTGATGGTGGTCACACTGCATTGTGACTGAGGATACAGACTCTAGAGTCAGGCTACCTGGGGTTTCACACACCAGTTCTCCATCTACCAGGCAGGCTTGCAGCAATGGCCTCAGTGGCTGTGCAGATCCCTATGAAAGCCAGACTCCCATAAGGGACCCGGCGGGCGTCGAGAGCAAAGATTTTATCCAAGCTAAAGTTTGTTTTGTATAGGACTTTGGTTCCTTCAAAGTGCTATGGAAGTTAGCTCTGTGTGTGTGTGTGTGTGTGTGTTTTCAAGACGTAATCTGTGCACTTAACATATTTACAGATTTAAATAATTATATTTTATATTTAAAGTAAAAATTTCTACAAGATAGATAGGACAGAAATATCTCTCCTTTCCTCTGTCTCTCTCTCTGTGTGCGTGTGTACACCTGAGCTTCCTCATATTCTTTTTTTTTTTTCCTTTTCCTTTTTTTTTTTTTATTCTCAAGACAGGGTTTCTTTGTGGCTTTGGAGCCTGTCCTGGAACTAGCTATGTAGAGCAGGCTTGCCTAGAACTCACAGAAATCAGCCTGCCTCTGCCTCCCAAGTGCTGGGACTAAAGGCATGCACCATCAACACCTGGCTAAGCTTTCTCATATTCTTAAGCTTAACTTGAGTAGTTAGCCTACATTTCTAATGTACATATTAAAGAAAAGATACATATAAGTTGCAGTTCTTTGTAAAAAGCTCTTTAGTATTATTAAAATTCAGTATGCTAACTAGCCAGATTTTCACCTCTATTTCTTTCCTAGGCAACAATACATACATACATACATACATACATACATACATACATACATTTAAATTTTATTTAAAGATCTGGACCTTTTATTGTGGCATACTACATAAATACAAAGACATCCCCTACTATGGTGATACTAGACATTAATGAAAATGGTCGCCCCTGTTCTGTAACAGAGAGGAGCCAAAAACTGATGCAAACATTATGTTATATAGTTATATATAGTTTATAACTCAGATCTCAAACCTTTAAAATCTGGTCTTCTAAAAACAGCTGGATCAATTCAGAGTTATTTTCTGTTCTAGAAGAAACAGGCCTTCTAGAACCTGAGCTCACATGTTAGCAGCTCAGTTTCTTATTCGTGTATTGATAATTGTGTACATGTTTGATTTGTGCCGTGAAAAGACAGTAAAGCAGTCCTCTTGAGCATCTTTTAGCTCCTTTAATTTCCCATTCTTAAATCTTATTCAGAAAATTTTGCTGAAAGTTACGGAGAATTGAGTATCAATTGCACCAAAAATATTTATGATATCACAGCTTGTTACCAAGTGATTTTGTTGTTGTTTTGTTTATTTTATATTAATCTTTTCCTGTGAATGCAGTCTAGATTCTTCCTCATGTGATGCACATCACCTCATTCTGTTTTATGTCATGATATTTAATGTTTAGTAATGTGTACTTTCTAAAGTTGTAAAGTTTAAAGGGAAAATTACTTAGAATTAGAGCATATTAACTGGGTAGACTAAAGGGTCCTTTGAAATCAGACTGTCTTTTGTTGATAATATTTTGTTTTTATGTGCTTTGAGGCTTGTTCATATTTTGTTTAAATAGCTTAATTTTTGGAAGAATTATCTCTTGTGGTCATATAACACTTTGACAAAACAGTGTCTTTTACTTAGCTTACAGAATCTGCTACATCTAACATTTAATTTGTGTTTTCTTTGTAGATAGTTGGTTGCCACTTTAGGTCTATTCCAGTGAATGAAAAAGACACCCTAACATATTTCATCTACTCAGTGAAGAATGACAAGAACAAATCGGATCTCAAGGTCGACAGTGGAGTTCACTAGGAGATGGCATTCACATAGTACATAGATGTCTGGCTGTAAAGAATGTTTACTGTTTTTCATATGTAGAAATGTTCTTGTGTATTTTTTCTACAGAGGATTTTCTTTGGCATTTTTTTGTTTCTTTTTGATTTTAATAATTAGTTGGAAACTCATATAAACTGAGCTTCCTAAATTAAAACTATTTTAAATAAAGGTTATTACTATTATAGCTGCTTCAGTGTATTTATTTTTGTGGAACTTAGTTTTTGTTTTAAGCTTCCAGGAATTGGTATTAAGGTTTCAGGTAAAGATTCTTGTTCAGTAAATTTTTCTTCAAATTCCAAGTAATTAAAGGTAAAGGAGAAATAACAGATATAACCGTAGGCTATTTTGATTAGTAAGTAAGCATTCTTTTTGTTTTTTTCTTTGTGTGTGTGTGTGTGTGTGTGTGTGTGTGTGTGTGTGTGTGTTAGGGTGCTGTATCCCTGGCTGTCCTGGAACTCAAATATCAGATATCCATCTGTCTCTGCCTAAAGGCATGCTCTACTGCACGCTAGCAGTATTTTTTAAAGTATTTTACAATGTATGTTAGCAGATTTGAAAATGAGACTTCCACTAATTCTCAACTACTTTTAAATTTCCCTTTTGCATTATTATTATTATTATTCCTTAAGGTGTATGAAGAAAAATGGGTAGTTTCTGTGCCTCTCTTTCCAAAGACGCCCAACATTCCAGCAAAGGTAAGCACAGTGCTTGCTCAGAATGGGAATAAGAATTCATGGAAAATAACTCACATTCTATAATGTTTGCTTTGCAAATTCAAACCACATTAATTAAACTGCTGTGCAGTGAATGTTTGTAATCCCAGTTCTCTAGAGGCTGAGGCAGGAGGATCACAAGTTAGAGACCATTCTGGCTACAGAACAAACCTTGTCTCAACAAAATGGAACCAAACCTTGTCTGAGGTTAGAGAAGTCTGGATCTGTAATGAACTCTTTGGAACTTTATTGCTTGGCTAAATGCTCAGCATAATAAATCGGGTTTGTAGCTTGTCGCATCAAAAACAAAAAATAGTGCCAGGAAAAGTGTTCTAAGAATGGTTACAAACTTTAGGCTGGAAATGATAAGACTAATACAGCTCAAAGTTCCTCAAGGTTGACATTTGGACCTGTGATGGTTGATTATGGAAGGCTATCCTGGGTTGTAGGAAGATGGACACACAGAGTTCATGACATTTACCAATTAAGTGCCAGTAGCTCTGAGATGTAACAATGATAATTACCTCTAGACACTGCCAAAGGTCCCCCAAAAAATTGATTACCAGCTGAGAACCACTGACAGCTAAAGTACTATGTCTACAGTACTGATCAATTAGGGGTAAGTTTACTTATTTTCAAGTGTTGACTTAGTCACAACTAGAAAGTAAAGCAGCTGTTCTTAGTGCCATTTAAAATGTCCTTATAACATTGTTGGTGAGCAGAAGCTAAGATTCTAGGCATTTTGAAAACAACTATATCATAGTTTTTTCTATACAATTTTTTCTTGTGAAAAGAACCTGAACTTTATTTGATTACAGTATCTTTAAGAACTCATATCTAGCAGCATTTAATTTCTTTTTTTTCCCCCAAGACAGTTTCTCTGTAGCTTTCGAGCCTGTCCTGGAACTCACTCTATAGACCAGGCCTGCCTCAAACTCACAGAGATCCATTTGCCTCTGCTTCCTGAGTACTGGGATTAAAGGCGTGCACCACCATTTAGTTTCCTATACTTATTTGCTTAATAAAATAATAACCCCCATCCCAAGAATAGCATTCTGAATGGTGATTAACCAAAGAAATTAAGTCCTTGTTAAAGCAATTTTAAAAAGTCTTTTAAACTGTGGTGCATGTGAGCTGTGTATAGTGTGCATATGGAGGTCTGAGGACAACTTTGGGGAGCCAGTTCTCACCTTCTAAGGCAGGGTCTCTTTTTCTGTGTAGCGTGGTATATTCCAGCTAGCTGGCCCCAGGCTTCTGGGGGGATTCCCCTATCTCTATTTCCCCGTCTTGCTGTGGAGGCATTGGGATTACAGACACTCACAGCATCCAGTTTTTTACATGAGTTCAAGGAATCAAACTCAAGTCATTGGGCTCATTGGGTTAGCATCTTCACACACTGAGCCATTTCCTGGATCATTGCTAGATCAATTTAAAACATTATAAAAGTGGATCTTTTACACTGAAAACTAGAGTCTCATCAAGGTCGAGTACTCAGTGAGCTGTAGTATAAAAAGGTTTCTATAAAGTTTCCTTCCTATGCTATTGAGTTTTTAGTGTTATCTATTCACTGTAATTTCTTATTTGTTTCTGAATAAAGAGTAAATGGAAACTCTTTACATGGGTACAGGTTATTTTTAACAACATCAAGAGAAGAATCCAAATTTTCCATAAGAGTTGAATAAGGAAAGAATATTAAATTTGTAGAGGGGGTTTAAAATTATTTAGGAACCAAAAAACTTATTTTTTTATTATTTATTTTTCTTATTTTACATGTTGATCCCAGTTCCCTCTTCCTTCCTCTCTCCTTTTCTCCCTCCCATACCCCCCCCCACTCTCCCATCCCATTGCCCCACACACTCCATAGGGAGGGTGATGCCTTCCAGGAAGGATCAACAAAATCTGCCAAGTCATATGGAGTAGGGACTAGGCCCTCCCTCCTGCCTCTAGGCTAAGGGAGTATCCCTCCCTGGGGAATGTGCTCCCAAAGTCCTTCTATGCAAGGATACATCCTGGTTCCACTGTCAGAGGTCCCTTAGATTGCCCAGGCCTTCTAACTGAGACCCATGTTCAGGAGGTCTGAGTCAGTCCAATGCTGGTTTCCCAGCTATCAGTCTGGGGGTCCAAGATCAGGCAGATGGGGACTCAGGGTGGTCCCGTTTGGATAGGCGTGTCAGGTGTACTCAGAGCAGATCCAGGAAATTCCCCGGAGGTGGAGGGGTTGTTGGACCGGCACTCTGGCCCAATGTTCAACCAGAGCAGTAGAATTTGGCCCAGTAGGACACAGGGTGGGGGGAGGTTCTGGGTAGGGTGGTTTGTGGATTAGAGTACTAGGACTATATTATCTAGGGACAGGATATAGGGGGAAGCAAGATTTGGGGCTAACCCAGGGAGTTCCCAGGGAAGGGTTGGGGGAGGCGATTGGGCCGGAACTGGTCCCAGACTCACCTCCAGCAGATGTCTATGGGAGTCAAAGGCCAGCCAGGCGGGGATTCAGGTTGATCCAGCTTGGATAGGTGGGTCCAGTGTGCTTAAGGAAGATCCAGGAAGTTCCCAGGAGGTGGAGGGGTTGTTAGACCCACCTACAACTTATTTTTTAAAAACTCCCATACTGCTATGTGATTTTTTTTTCATTGAAGGAAATTTACATAATACAAAGTCAAAGTATATAATTTGGTGATATTCAGTGTATTCACAATAATTTCAAATTTTTTTTATCACCCTCCAAAAACAGTCACACATAGTTCTCTCATTGTGTCTATTAGTATATCTCCATGGGAGGTTTATTAATTCATTGAATATTGAGTTTCAGCCTTTGGCTAGTATGATAATGCTACTATAGAGACATTACTGAACTGGTGTTAAGTAGGTAAGTTTCTTCATTTCTCCCGAGTTTACCCCTAGCAGTGAAATTGCTAAGTCAGAATAATTCTCTATTTAACTTTTTGATTTTCCAAGTGGCTGGGACATTGATGACATTATTCACATAATGGCTGAAAATTTTAAATTTGCTAGCACTTGTACTCTTCCTCCACCCCACCACCCCTTCCCCCACTCCCACTTTGAGACAGAGTCCCTCTATTATGTAGCTCTGGTTGTCCTTAATTCAATACATAGAACAGGCTGCCCCCAAAGTGCTGAGATTAAAGGTTTGTGCCAGCACACCTGGCCTGTACTTTTCCCCCATAACTAAAGGCATACTACTAGGTATGAAGTATCTTATTGTAGCTTTAATTTATATAATCTTAATTTTTTATTTACTTTTATTTCTGTGTATTGTTGTATGTCCTTGTCTAATGTGAACCCATGTGTGTGCAGGTGCTCTCTTGGGCCCCAAGAGGGCATAGGGACCCCTGGAATTGGAGTTGCAGGCAGGTATGAGCCAGTGTTGGGGTGCTGGGAATTGAACCCTGAATCTTGGAAAGAATAAGTGCTCTTAACTGCTAAACCATGGTACTAGCCTCTGATTGTGGAAATTAAGACCTTGGCTAAGAATTTACTTCCCCCTGCTGCCCTCAGGGCAGGCAGCTGTACCGCAGGAAAACAAAAACATGTGACTAAGGCAAGATGTTCCTTTGTTTTCCCAAAACCTTGGGTCAGACCCTAACCAGTCCTTGGAACCTGAGATGACTAAACCCCCCTCTGCTTCCTCCTCTTCCATCTGGTGCTGGGGTATAAAAGCCAAGCCAGCCCCTGGAGCAAAATAAAAAGAGAGCCTTTTTAACATCAAGCAAGAGTCCTGTGTTGTTAATCCCGACACCCTCCGCAGATTTTCAGTCCCTGGCTGTGCAGGTGCGGCATCCGATTTATATAAACACTTATCAATGATATTGAGCATTTAAAAAAGATTTTTGAAATTTATTTTGTATGCAGTGTTATGCCTGGTATATGTCTGCAGGTCAGAAGAGGGAACCAGATCTCATTACAGATGATTGTAAGCTACTATGTGGGTTCTGGAAATTGAACTCAAGACCTTTGGAAAAGTAGCCAGTATTCTAAGCCATTTCTCCAGCTTGTTACTGAACAGTTTATAGGATTTACTTTTGGCGTCAAGTCTTGAATCCATTAGTAAATACAACATGATGATGAGTAATGCCCTTTTTATGGTTAACCAGTTGTCAAAGCATCATTTTGAGAAGATACTATTTCCTCACTGAATGTTCTTAGTTTGCTCTTTGAGAATCACTTAGCCTAGAATATTAGAGTTTATTTCTGGGCTTACAATTCTTTCCCACTGACTTATTAGATGTATTAGCCTTACTTTAAGTTTTAAAGATCAAGATTTTTAATTCTTTGTTCTTTGTTCTTATTTTGATCCTTCTTGGACTGTTGAAATGTCATATGAATTTGAAAAAATAAATGGCTTTTCCCAATGTGATGTCACTGAGTATGCACACTGTTTAAAGATTTCCATCTGAATTATGTTAAGCCTTCTAACCCATGAGTATAGGAGTCGTTTTTTTATTTGCTTA